TCTGTCTGTATACCTGTCGATCTATCTGTCTTCTGTCTGTGTATCTATCTACCTATCTATCTTTCTATCTATCTATCTATCTATCTATGTATCTATATACCTATCTATCTATCTATCTATCCATCTATCTAATCAGTAAAACTACACTCGAGCCACTGTAAAGATATTCCAAAAAATCATACCCTTACTAAATTATAAATTCTTAATAAAAAAAATATGTAGAAATATATATCTATTGACTGTCACATGTGCATGAGTAAATAGAAACGTTACAGACTTAGATTTGTCCCTATCAATACATCAAATGTCATCGAGGTCAAAAAGCGTGTACAGGAAATAAGAATTTCTCGGTCACAAAACTTTTCTTAAGCAAGAGACATAACATTACCTACCAGGTAAAGTATCTTTTTCCATGCATTGTTCCGTCGTTACCGCTGAAGCAAAACACTGAGTAGAGAATTAGCAGTATTTTCATAAAAAAAAGTTTTAGCCTAGAAGTAAGAGAAATTCAATTTGAAAAACGAGCCTAATTTACAACTTATAAAAAAGAGAATGAAAAATTTTTAACCTAACTGCAGGTTTGGTTTTATTGTGATTGAAAGGAGTAGTTTCTCCGACAAAACTTCAACATGAAAGGAGAAGGTGTTGACGTTGAGATGAACTATCTCGGCACTAAGCTCCACTGAGTAAACCCTCGTTTTATTCCCTTCAGAATAAATTTCAGTGATGCTTATCAATGTTTGAGCTTTACTCCGGGACAGTTCCGCGGACACTACGTAAACATTTTTCGACTGAAGGAAAGATACTTGATACATACAGTAGTCCATGTAAAGTCTTTTTAAAAGTTTCAAGTTTAGATATTATTCACTTTCATCATCTGCCATGTAACTCATGTACTCACAAGTTATCTACATTAGTACACTCGAATAATCATAATACCTTCAGGTTGATCTGGATCCACCTCTACGCCGACACGATATCCATTTAGTTCAGGTACAAATCCGACGTACTTGACTGTTCCTCGATATTCATAAGGGAAAAGGTTGAACAATACCTTCATACCTACTTCGATAGCTTTGGTTGATTTAGGCTTGAAGTCCTGCTTCATAGTATCACCTGTAACGAAAACAGAGAATTTATCTTAATCAAGAATAACAAAAACGATAAATAATTCAAATGACCATCATACTAAGTACATCACGATCACTATTTAGTCTCCACTGATGTTTTTAGGTCATCAAAGGCCAACATAACCCAGTAGTTTTATTCGGAGTTCAAATGACTTAGCTTCGGGTTAACATTAGGTTATGAGCGAATCCACACACCAGTATTCCCAACCTGAAAGAAATATCTTATTAAATACTCACTTGCGGATAACAATGTATCAGATACGGGTAAGAAAATACGTTCGAGTTTCCGGATTATTGGTGACACTTCACTTTTTCTGCATATAAAACACCCGCAACCCATAATTTCTCTATTTGCTGTGACGAAGGGTTACCGGTCAAACCGTCAGCTCTAGAAACTATTTATAGTGGCTAATTTGCATTATTAGAAACTGGATCATTGGATAATGTAATTCGAGACTTTTTATTGGCTTAGCCATTATGGTATATCGGCCAATATACCATAATCTAATATCTGTACATTGTAAGATGCGGTTTCTTCGTACAAAATAAAGTCGAGAAGATTTGTCTAATATTCTGGGGGCGTTTTTTTTTTAAATAAAATAATTATTCCACTCGCGCTTGTTGGATATGAGATGATTAAAGCCAACTCGGCGCTACGCGCCTTGTATCCGTCTCTTATCCAACGCTCGCTCGTAGAATAATTGTTAATTATCAACTCAGGTAATAAAAAACCAAGTTACCTTATTGCACCCGACATCGACATAGCACCACAGTTTGTTTAGAAACTTACCCCCTTGAACCCTGACATTAGTTGCCCCTTTCTGGTTTGGTCCGCCAATGGCTTCGTCGGTCGTTTTCTTCACTTGTATAGCTTGATATTGATAGTGGCCCTTCAGTCTTCCCCTCTGCTGCACCAGACCCTGCACAGTGAACATTAAACTGGCTATCTGCTGTGATTGATCATTCAATTGCTGTGACTGTTGTACATTTTTGGCCATCAATCTGTCTATCTGCTGCGACTGATCATTCAACTGCTGTGATTGTTCTACATTTTTGGCCATCAAACTGTCTATCTGATCGTTGAAGGTAGACGTCAATCTCTCAATCTGCTTCGACTGCTCTTTAACCTGATTCTGAATGATCTCAAGACTGCAAAGAGCTAAGTTCAAGTGGCTTTCCAGGTGTGATTCCAAGTGAGATTTGGTTCTAACTCTTTGAAACTGAAAAAGACAACGATAACGTCATGAGACTCTTAAAACAATCCGAACACTCAAATTTTCAATTTTTGATCTTAATGTTCCTTCCAGCAGTACACGGTTTTATTAAACAGGGGCATTGCTTGATAGGAATTTTTTAAACCCAGCAATGAAAAACATATTGTGCGTTATTGACCAAGCGTGAGTTTAAGAATATTACATGGCCGAATTTTATCTTCGAGTGCTCTATCTCTCACGAAGCTCACTCGTGAGAGATACTTTCAGTACGAGAAGATAAAATTCGTATCCCCAAGCGGCTACGTAATGTTCTGTTTATTCTATAGATACTGATGAAATTTCCACATAAAACACAACTTTTTTTTATTCATTTTCGAAACAGCAAAATAGTGCAATTTAAATGGTCACCTATCGCAAAATGCCTGTCACAAAAATGTTATGAAACTCGGATATAAAGTGATAGAGGAGAAATAAAACAATAATACTTGTTCAGGAGAAAATTCCCATGCGACTTTGTGTTCAAGGAAACTAATTAGAAAAATACAGCGGATAGTTACGCAACACCATTTATTTATTCGAAAGTTGTGACAGTCATGGCGGTGTATATATAAGATTCAGCATATTCAAGAATTAGGCTGTTATTTTTCAGAAAGATTTCGGAGGCTACGTTTCGTTTTAATAAAAGTTAACATGTTCTGCGAAACAATACTTATATTTTCTGTTCCAAAAAGTCAAATTTCTAATGAAGAAGAGAAAAATTCTATCAATTTCCACGGTTAATCATGTTAGTAGCCATGGCGACACGAACATCCTCACACGTGAAAGATAAAATTAGTATCTTCACTGTGCGAGATGAAGATATGATTGTTTAGTAAAAGGAAAAATCCTGGTATTTCATCAGTATGAATATAATAAGATCCGATATCGGCCGAGCTCTTTTTTTTACGTTTTTATGGAACGAGACGGGCGCTACCAGCTACATGTACATGATAATAGGTGTAAACTAACAGAAAGTGGATCAAGTCTAGAACAATAATACGTATAAGTCTCGGTCTTAAAAACTTCGAACTTTCCTCAGAAACTGTTCACCACACTTAGATTCGCCATGTTTTCAATGACAAATCATCCATTTAAGTGCGTTCAGGGCCGGACGGATTTTTCCGGATCGGCTCACGTCATCCCGTCTTCCCCCAAACATATCAACTCCCACTATGGTTTTCTGTGGGATTGCACGCGCGGGGAAGTACGGATCAAATAATAAATATATTTCTTATATGAATAAAGGCTAATAGTTTCTAAAGAAACTGTTTGGGGCTGCGTCGGTGGGGGTAACGAAATAATTTGGATATATCAACGAAGTTCAAACGGTAAATTGGCCACCGTAACGTGTTAGTCTAAATCCCACAGGGATCAACGAACGCTTTTCATTCCACTAATTTACTCGTGTTTTTCTCGTTGCCATGTTCCCACCAATAACGTAACTCCATTTTCTGCCTTTAAAAGCACACACAACCCACAATTCCTCTATTCGCTCCGTCGAAGGGCTAACGCTAGAAACGTCAGCTTTTGTAATCGTTACGGTGGCTAATTTACCATTTCAACTTTGTTGATATATCCAAAAGTATTTCTTGTATGACCTGTCCGGCAATCCCACAGAAAACCATAGTGAAAAATGACGTGTGTTAGGCCGGACGGGTTTACGTGAACTGGTTCGGCAAAGGCCGTCTGGTCCTAGTGCACTTGTACGGCGACATTGTTCGCAGTTGTTGCGAAAAAACGAGGGATAGCAGTGAACAAAACGAGAAAATGAGTAACTTTTTCGATGAATTGTGGGTATCTTGTTCTGAGTCCAAAAATAAAGGGCAAGTTTTTAACGTAGAATCCTTTTTTGTGGTTTTCCTGCGCGCGCCAGTCTATTGCGTCTTGATTGAATTTTTTAAAACCTAGATTTAAGGTCATGTGATAAAATGCTGATTGACTGAGTTAGTTCGGGCTGGACGGGAAAATATTTGGCGCGAGTTCGTGATGCACGGAACTCGCTTTTTTCAAACCGTACATAATAACCTGGAGCCAAAGATTTTCCCGTCCGATTCCCCCTTCCGTCACTAAGTACATAATATTTGACAATCCATTGTAATTCATTCTTTAATATGTTATGGAACTACAGTACGTAGAAAGAATGTATTTTTCAACTGTTCATCCTCCCCACCAAACCTGTTTAAATTACCAATCCAAAATACATTAAAATCTGTTTCATACCACTTCTTGGCATCCTAAGTTCTTGTATTTACAATGAATTTCAGTTAAAAGACAGTCATCACGAATGTGAGCCACCAGCTAAAACAAAAGGAAGAATAAAACTTAGTCTTGACTAAGCTGCCAGAAAAATCTTTCCCTCGAGCATAGGAAAAAAAAAGGGAGCGTCTCAAAATCACTCCTTAGACTTCGTAATGTATGATACAGGACAGTGAGTTCAGCTACAAAATAGAAAAATGTTCCCTATCATTCTAAGGCATTTTCCTTACATAGTTTAACTGAGCAAGCTTCCTTGTAGGGATCGTACAGTGTAATGCCAAAGTGGATTGCTTCTGTACCATGAAGCTACCTAGATTAAACTGAAATTCTGGCAGGCTCAGCCATAGCAGAGAATAACTACCCTGGTGTCCTCTGACTGAGGTGAGGAAAATATCTAAAAACACAATTGCATTGTCTTTGGAGAATCGAGCATGGAACGCCTTCCACTGCTCCCATAAATAGGAGGAGGCTTGTAGTGTTTCACATAAAGCAGCACTATGTCCCATGCAGGCTGGGCGTTTGAACTTTCAATTTAATTAACAAATGGAAAACACCACAGCGTACACTATTGAGTTATGGATGCACGCGGGAGGTTGCTAAGCACGAAAGAAGCGTAAGAGTCGCT